ATACCAACACCATTGAAGCAAAATTTATTCCTTGGTTCTTATGTGAATTTTTATATATATACTTGAATCCCAAATTAATACAAGATTAAAAATAAAAATAAATTTATTTTTTTATATTTTTAAATTAAATTTAATATTTATTCTTTTTATGATTATAATTAAGTGATTTTAACTTTTATATTTGAGTTAAAAAAATTCAAACGTATTTTTTTATTCAATATTTATAAATTTATAAATCATAAAATAAGCACATCATATGATAACAAAATAAGTGTTAAAATATAATTTAAAATCTAAAATATAATTTTTAAATACATCAAACGTATTTTTTTATTCAATATTTATAACTTTTACTTTTGAGTTGAAAAAATTGGTATAAAACATATTTTTCCCTTTAAATATTATCATTTAACATTGTTTATAATTTCAAAAATTATTTTTAATAAGTAATGGGAATAGGTTAATTTAAAATGATTGAAGCTTGAAGATAATTGATTATACAATCTATTTGAATATTTTTGCATCCAACAAAATTGACAATCGAACCTGATAAATTGATATGTATTTCATATAAAGAACACTTTTTAATATTAATTTTAAAAAAATAAAAATCTTTATTTTCTTTTTTTTATTCTTGTGTAAACTTAAATTTAAAGTAAATATTATAAAATTTATCCATATTTGAACCAATAAACAAATTTTGCTTTGTAATTTGAACATAGGTTATATACATAATTGTATAAACCAAATCTTAAGTCTTTAGTAAGAGGGGTGAACTTAGGAGGATGGTTGGTTCTAGAAGGTTGGATAAAGCCTTCTCTTTTTGAAGATATTCCTAATGCAGACATGCTTGTGAGTATTTTAATATATATATATATATATATATATATAGGTATTTTTTAAAAGAAATTCAATAAATAATTTTGATAATACGTTTTTATGGATATTGAAAAATGTAGGATGGAACAGAGGTTACTTTCAAGTCAGTGAAACTGAAGAAATTTGTTTGTGCTGAAAATGGAGGTGGAATGGACATTTCAGTTAACAGAGATTCTGCATCTTCATGGGAAACTTTTACTGTAAGATGCCCCCACGCATGTTCTTGTTATATCGATCTATAGATATCTTACGATTCGTAAGTTCGTATTCGGCAACATAATTTGTTGTCTACCACTTGCTCGTAATGCAGTTATGGAGAGTTACTGAATCCGAATTTCAATTCCGCGCCACACAAGGCCAATTTCTAACGTGTTACGGTAACGGATGCACGGTGTCCGCAACTGCAAAATTGGCTTCCTCGACGGAAACATTTCAGATCGAAAGAAATAACAACGGTCGAGTTCATATTAAAACAAAGGGTGGAGCCTATCTGCAGGTATTATACTCAATTCCTTCATGTTTGAGTTGATCCATGGCATTTGAAGTAGTAAAAGTTGATGTGAGTTGTTTTTGTTATATTTTAGGCTACCATAGATAATCAGCTGACAGCAGATAACCCAGGAAATCCGGGGTGGGATGATAATGCAGCCGTGTTCGAAATGTCGATTGTAGCAAATAACTTGCACGGTGATTATCAGCTTGCTAATGGATACGGATACAGCAAGGCGAAAGAGGTTCTCGAGGTACTGTAATCACTTTCTATGCTATCTATTTCATTGTTGTTCTCAAGCTAACGCTTCTTTGTCAATGAAACTGCAGACATATAGAAGAACTTTTATCAATGCAGGAGATTTCGAGTTTTTACAGAGAACTGGAATAAATACCGTACAGATTCCGGACGGCTGGTGGATTGCATATGATCCAAATCCTCCCGCCCCGTTTATTGGAGGAACGTAAGCAGCTCTTCTCATGGGCACAGTAAGTCCTTATTTCGCTTCTCTTTGTTGGAATGCTACAATTTGAATCTTCATTACACTTGATAAGTATGTTGAAATTTTGATGCAGGACCTATAAGATAAAGTGCATAATCGACCTTCATGCGGCACCCGGCTCCCAAAATAGGCTGGACTATATCAGAATCGGTTTCGCAGACATTGCATGTCATAAATTTTCTAGCTTCCAGGTAACTCCCAACAAGTTATCGGCTGGTGTCTGCGGATTTGTGGCTGCGTAAAGTTTAATCCCATTGAGTCGTCTTGTTTGTTGCAGGTAGCTGCATCAATTCCATTGGATATTTTAGTTCCATATTATAAACAAGGGTATGAAATCGTGCGGAAACACTCACCGTCAGCGTACGTGATCGTTTGCCAAAGAATTGGCAATGCAGATCCAATTGAACTTTATAAGGGTGATATAGGTTCCCACAATGTAGTGGTAGATTTGCATTACTACAACCTCTTCGATCCGTATTTCATCACCTTGAGCCCTATCGATAATATCCAGTTCATTTACAAGAGCAGGGAACCTCAGGTACAAGCTCTGAATGCAGCAGATGGTCCACTTGTTTTCATCGGTAACTCTATCAACTTAGATCATGTTTTATGATTCTGTGAGCTTGTATGTGTGTTATCAGTAGACGTTTTCCGTGCTTCCTAATATGGTTTATGCGTTTTTGTTCGGTTTTGGTTTAGGCGAGTGGGTGAATGAGTGGAATGTTACAAATGGGACACAATCAGAATATCAAGACTTTGGGAAGGCTCAATTAGAGGTGTATAATGCAGCTTCCTTTGGTTGGTCTTATTGGACTATCAAAAATGACAGAGAACACTGGGATTTTGAATGGAATATTAGGAACAACTATCTTCAATTCAGTAAATATTCTAAACCATATTTCAGATTATGTGAAGCACCGTATCCGGCATCCGTACCCGAGTCCGTTCTTGAACTGCATGTGACATACGTTCTTGCAGGTAATTCACAGAAGAATATTTTCAACAGACTATTATGGCTTTTACTTCCCTTGGTATGGTTCTATTGGTGTTGAATATCATGACGAACGGCATTGCTCGAGACTCGGATGCGAAGAGGACGATCGTGCACAGTTTTTTTAATTTTCTTTTCCATTTCCCCCCTATTTTTATACTCACTGATACGTCAATGTTACGTTCACTGCTTCAGCAAAACAACCATTTCATTCATTTTGGCAAAATTGGAAGCCTAATAACATAGTTGGAGCAGAGATTATCCATTAAAAAGAAGTGTTCATTCCTTTCAAAACAATGGCACTGTTTGTAACTTAGACTAAAAAATGAGTGTCGTTTATGGGTATATGCGAGTCTAACCTAGGTATTTTCATATATTTTAAGAATAATATTTCTATATTTATGTCTGAATATATGTAATTGAATTTATTGAGAATTTAGTGGTAAGTTAAGGATTGTAGGTTCGAGTACATGTATTTGTAGGTACAGGGGATGCACTTGACCCCTTAGGAGGCAAGTTTATACCTATTATTTTAGACAAGTTCTTAAATATAGTTCGATATATTATAGGAATGAGTAAAAAAAATTGCATACCCATTTTATTGAAAAAAGAGTATTAAAAATTTTGAAACCCATTATTAATTTTTGAGATACGTTACTTTCTGCAAGTAGAAGATATAAGAGTTGTTGATGACTTAAAAATATTTTGAACAAACGATACTTTGTAACTCCCTCATATTTTTTAGAATTATCTCATATTATTAACAATTATATTGAGTATAATTGTTAAAAAGTTGAAATGATCAAAATTCTTTAAATTGAGACCGAAATGAAAGAAAAAAATATGGACAAAAAATATAAAAGAAAAGTTTACGAATTTTATCTAAAAATAACAAGTGCACGTGATGCGCATCGAATATGCAATTGCACTAGCTAGGTGGCAGTTAGAAGTGTAAACTAGTCGAGTTTGAGTATTGTTAAGCTCGACTCGATTAAAATATTTGTAAGCTTAAAATTATCGAACTCAACTCAAACTCAAAATAAAAAATTGAAGCTCAATTCAATCTCGAACCCGAAACTTAAATACATAAGAACCTTATATATATATATATATATATATATATATATATATATATATATATATATATATATATATATATATATATATATATATATATATATATATAAAAAAACATATAAATGTTAATTTTATTAACAATTTAATTTAAAATTTTAAAATATTATTTTTTAGTAGCTCGCGAGCTTTTTAAGTCGAGTATCCAGTAGCTCGCTTTAACTTGTTAAGAATTCAAGTCGAGTTCGAGCTTGAGTCGAGTCTATTATATATTGATCGCACCTTGAGTGAATCAATTTCAAGTAACTCCCGATCTATCTTATCACATTTATAATTATGTTAACACTAACCTATTTGTATTATTCTTACGTTCAATCACTCAATAAATACACATTTAAAATATTATATTTAAATACAAGAAAACTTACATATCTAAACAATATGGGCTAATACATGTGTATCATTGTCATCCTCCGGCTCGACTCGTATTTGTGATCATGTAATTACGTGTCTTCGACATATATCTTGTGCGTTCTCGACTCGTGTTTGTGATCGTACAATTATGTGTCTTCAACATATATCAAGCACATTTATTAATTTTAGATAACATTCGTATAATTTTATTTTATATTTCTTACCTTTATTTTTCTTTCTTTTTATTTTACCTCAAAGAGTTATAATCTTTTTGTGTCACATAAACAGAAGACTATGTTATTTTTTAATCTAATACATTTTGTGCCACGAAAGTAAAAAAAATATAAAAAAAATCTTTCACTTACCTGAGATAAGAAAATGCCAGATCAAAAAATAATTTGTTCAGATTATAAGTTATTTATAAATGAGGTATATTTGAATAAAAGAAAAGCCTATAATCAATTGATAATCGAAATATAAAAATAAAAGTTGAATCACTAAAACTAAAAGAGACTGAACTAAAGTGACTACCAGTAATGTAGTTTAGAGATAACATAAAATATTGATAAGACATGGCTCCACTATGTATCCATTCCTCAACTCAAGGAATCAATTATGTTTTTAGCAAAATAGTTAGCATATAAGAGTGAATGGTGGGAAATCAAGTCCAGAGGAAGAAACCCAGAGTTCTATGCCTCCTTGGATTCAGAACAAGCGGTGAAATCCTGAAGAAAATGATAGGAAAATGGCCTGAATCCGTGCTGAGGAACTTTGACTTAGATTTTCTCGACGGTTCATATCCTGCAAGAGGAAAATCCGACGTTGAATCCCTTTATGATCCACCTTATTATCAATGGTATCAAGTCAACAAGGTTTGATCTTTCAATTTCAACATCTTATTTTTTTTTCGTGATTGGATAATCTCCATTTAAATGAAACATCAGGTTTTTTTCCTTTGTTTTTTTTTCAGATTGAGCGTGTGCATTTTGAGGAATGTGTTGCATATATTAAGATTATATGATTAAACATGGTCCCTTTATGGCCTACTGGGCTTTTCCCAGGTAAATGATTTGATGCTTGAAATCACTGAAAGGAACCCTTTTTCAGTTTTCTGATTAAAATTAACGATTGGGTAATTTTATGGATTTCAGGGTGGAATGTAAAATTGACTGATTTTTGCTTGAATTTTGATTTGCAGGGGACTGCTTTCACCAAAGTGCCGAAGATAAAGTTTGTGATCATAATATCAGGATTTGCACTTCAAGAATTGAAGTCCGTGCCACCTAAATTGCTTTCTAATTTATATTCGGTTCCAATTGACTGCCCTTCTATTCATATCATTGGCAAGTTTATGAATCATTCTTGCAGTTTTAATTGCTTCATTTAGTTCTATTACATTTTGGGTAACGAAAGTATATGTTACTCGAACTCGGTGCGGGCAGGCGTCTAGCAAGGGATGTGCCCATCATGAGTATGTTCTTAATCTTTTCAAAATTTTCATGTATTTGGAGAGTTCTTATAGGATGATATTCATATTCTGTCTGTGTCTGACATAGATGCCGGATACGGATCCTGTAAGAAAAATCGAGTCAGGAGTATATAGACTAAAGTTACTTTTTCGATTTCATTGATCTTGAGCATGCCAGACTAAACCTGCTATGATACCATAAAATATTACAGTTGTTATTGTACAAATATTGGCTGACTAGAGCTATGTTACTCGTACTAGGGTATTAATATTAGATTAAGATATGTTCAATTTTTTTCTTCTTCAAGTTTTGCCATGTATTTGGAGTTTTTAGAGAGTTTTTCCATGTATTTCATACAAGTATTGGACTTGGGTGCTTTAAAATGAAGAGTCTAAACAACATAGGATATAAGACCTATAAATCTCCAAGTTTTACCAGTTTTCTGGCAAATCAACAGTATATTTTTGTCCACCTCGATGAAGTCTTAAACATCTGGATACAACAAATCTTGACATAAGTTGTAACATCCCAATTTAGGGGCTAAATTTAATAAATTATAAAGTGGTGAATTTAATTGGTATTTTTGGAAGGAATTGGGGATTAAATTGTAAAATTTCAAAGTTAGCAGACCGTTTTAAGAAGTACAGGAAGTTTGGTGACTAAACTCATGGTTTAGCCATTTTTATTATGAGTTGAATTATAAATCCCCGTTCCCGTATGTTTTCTGGAAAATTTTCTAGATTTTCCCCTTCATCAACCCTCCTTCCAACTCTGATCTACTCGCCGTCCGACTTCCGATCGACGAGTCGAAACTATCATCGTGTTCGTTGTCGAGCGAGGAATAAAACCCCTCAAACCTTTCGTCATGAATCGTCTCCGTTCGTCGTTAATTTCAGTCGGAAGTATCGTCGGTAATAACTCTATTTCAATTGGTTTTTCATCGATTCACGACGATCGGGTCATCCGTTTACGACGCCTCCAACACCATCGTGTTCCTTGCATCGTTCTGAGTCCGCCGGTGTCATCCTTGGTCTCCGTCGACCGCGGCGCGTGAGGAAGTGAAGCGGTCAAAGTTTCCGATTCGTTGAAATCGAGCTATCCGCCATTCAAAAATTTGAACCGAGCTTTGTAATTATCTCGAAATCGCTTAAAATAATTTTTAGGAATTTTCCGGGAATTTAGCACTGTTCACGCGCCGCCACTACGCGTGGGGAAGAAAAAAAATGACCGGTTTGACCGGTTTTGCTCTTGTTTTGACCGGTTTTGCTCTTGTTTTGACCGGTTTGACCGATCATATCCTGACATTTTTTGATGTTCCAAATCCGATTCCGCTATCCGTTTTTCGAAATTCGAACCCGAAGGCCTCAAAATTGCCGGTCAAACCCGTTGACTTTGATTTTGACCAAAAATTTCAAATTTCCGAAAAGTCATATTTTATGCTTTCGACGTCCTGAATCCGAATTCGAAGTCCGTTTCGCCAAATTCGAACCCGGTAAGCTATTTTTCACTGATTTATCACCCGATTCGATCCGTTTATCGCAATTAAGCTCCGTTTCTGATATAATATATGTTGATATGTATCTGAGGAATTATTGGAAGTTGAATTGAAGATCAAAGGCGTTCAAATGGAAATGTTTGGTCTCATATGTGTAATTAATGAAGATCTACACTAGATACGAATACGGTAGAAAGTAGATAACTGAATATGGCTCAGATGACTATTATAAGAATTTGGAGGCCAGTTGAAATTAAATTACAAGTTCTGGAATTAACTGATAAAAGAATCAACAATGGATTGTCGATTATAATTTATCTCATTAAATGTACTTAGATGATAAATTATGAGAATATTTCGATTAGGTAAAATTACGAAATTACCCTTATATTGGAAAATAACAAGAATTGTCTCTGGAAGTGGATTAATAAATCTGAAAAGAATTATTGACCTGCTAAAACTATTGATGTGCATAAGAAATGTTAGTTTTACTTGGAAATTATGGATAACCGGTTTTTAACCCCAAGAAGGTTTATGCTAGATACTAGAAGTCTTTTAAGAAATCATTTCAAGATCAAAGAATGTTCGAGGAAGCAATTAATCATAGGATCTCTATATTATATTATTTTCGTTAAGAGCTAATATCGAAATTATCTGGTTAAGAAATTACGAAAATGCCCTTGAGAGATAAAATAGTATGAATTGACCCTGAATGAGAAAGTACTTTGAGGATTTGTACTTAACTCGATTAAGTACGAATTTAATTGTTAAGATCATGTCTTTGTACAGAAAAATTCATGATATTATGTTTGTAAAATCTGAGAAGACACTTGACCCGAAAATATTCGAATAATTAGTAAATACTTGAAGAATAATTTATCGTGGGTATTCTGTTGTCATAATTGTTCGAAAGGACTGAAGTAAATGATAAGATTTAATTAAATAATAAGACCGGGTGGCAGGAAAAGATTGAAATACCGTAGATCTGTAAAATGACCAAAATACCCCTGTAATGGAAATGACCCAAGAATATCACCAAGCTCAGGAATGATTGGATATCCTCAGCTCTGAAATGAATGCAATAAAACTGAACACCAAAATTATCAAAATACCCTTTTGGCCTATATTAAGTAAATGTATTGGATTAATTAAGGAATCCAAATAAGCATAGGTGTTGGACTACCTTTAAAAGTTATGGAACATAACTTAAGTGAGCCGATCAACCTTAATAATATGTCAGTACCTGAACGACATAGATATTACTTGAATGCATGTTCGTCTACTCAAGTTTAGCTCAATGATAATTTTGGAAGTATTCAGCTCAGCTCAACACTAGATCGTATTCAGTACTAAAAATTGGATATTTGTTCGACAAATCAACCACGAAGACCAAACTGAACTGAACGGAAGTACAATATGTATCTGAAATTCAGAAACGTCCAGAATTACTCTGGAAAATTCCGAAGTAACTAGAATAGACTTGAATGCTAAATTAACTAAGTAACCTCAAGCACTAAGGATTAAGTAAGTGATTAGGTTAAGCCTGGAAATTCGGATGAATTTACATGATGTATCGCCCTTATGGAACATGAACTACAAATCAAGCACGTCAGTATTTCATGATATAGTGGAAACTTGGAAATGAAATAGAGACCATTGGAATATCTATTCAGCGATGATTCTGAAGATGATCTATGGACAATAATTTATGGTATTAAAGAGTAAATACCCTAGAAGGAAAATGAATTGACCAATCGACATAGATTGTTAAGGTTCTGAATCTTCGTTCTCAAGTTGTTCGATTATCCGATCAATTGACATGGATGTAAAGGATTCTGAATACCCTTATGATTACGTATAACTTCTGAAAACTGTCCGAATAAGATATGATCCTGATAATTCACATTCTGAATAACTGATGATTCTGTCAGTTAATGAACTCTTCCAATAGTGATTCTAAATTCCAACATTCTATCGACATACTGAAGAACTGTGTTTCTCTGCCTGATCCAGTCCCTCTAAATAATATCCATAAAACTCTGGTGTGTTCCCTACTCACATGAATATTTTATCTGATTTTCGATTTGAATTCTGATCTGATACTTGACATGGATTCTGATCTGATATCTGACATGGATTCTGATCTGATACTTGACTTGGATTCTGATCTGTTACTTGACCTAATTTCTGATATGATACTTGACCTGATTTATTTTTTGATTTTTGATATATCCGTTTACGGACGGAAAATGTTTTAATTGGGGGTATTGTTGAAGGAAGAAGTTTCGCAGGTTCCTCGGCTTTGTGCTCAGGGCCTTATATGATGTTTTGAGTTGGGTGTATGGTTCTGGGGAACCTACACATGTAAGGAAGTAAGATCCAGTGAAATCACATTTTGGTTGCAAAATTTGCATTTTTGTTCATAGGAAACAAGTTTAAACTTTTTTTTTCTGTATGGGAATTGTCTTGCATTGCTGATAATTACTTGTTTATCACCTATATTTTCTTTCTACTCGATGTTTGATCCCGAAACGAAAAACAAGAAGAGCTAGTTTTAGGACTTGTAATTCCTCCATTCTCTGAAAATGTCAATTTTCTTTTTCAGGAGAGAAGGATTTCCTGAAGGAACAAAATTACAAGCTAATGAAATTATTTGTGAATCCCTTTCTTATTCAGCATTCAGTAGGGCACACCGTGCCAAGACTCGGTAAGTATTGCTACCCTGAAACCTTTTTCCTGGAAAACAAAAAGAACCCCGACTTAGCTCTATGCTTCATCTCTGAATGATCAAGGTCGTGAATCCCATGCTCCGATGCTCGTGTATTTTCTCTTTCTTTTTTTCTCATTTTTCATTTTAATTGTAACAGATGAAAAAGACCTGGAGAAGATAAATAAGTTAATGGAGAAAATCCAGGAGATGTTTATGTTTCCACAAGAATTGCAGAGTGGCTTAGGACTAAAGTCTGCATTATAGGTTGGTTGGTTTTCTGCCCATATCAGATGAGAAAATAACATGGGAATTATTAAATCACCATCACGATTTGTATAATCGATCATCATTGAATTGATTTTCATTTATTCAGGAAACTAATGGGTTTAAATCCCTTTGTTTCAGCATTTTTGTTTGTTCGTTCGTTTGTTTTTTGTTGAACTTCATAAACTCATGGGTTTAATCCCTTTGTTTCATCATTGAATTGATTTTCATTGGTTCAGGAATGCTATATTATTATTTTAGCAGTCAACATGAAATTTCTGACCTAGGCTCTGTTTTCGATTGAGCTAATTTATCTTTAACAGATTTATGTCACGGTACCATTTTAATTAAAGGGTAAATTCATACATGGTCCCGTTTGTTTCTGGTCTATCTTATTCTGAAAAAGAAATTATTTAATCACTTATGTTATCAATCCGATGATTTACATGTTATTAAAAAGGTTTCATTTTAAAATTAACTCTTGAACTTTCAATTTTTTTATTTTTTTCACTTTATTCATAAGAAACACTTAAAATCCTTTTTTACAAAAAGAAAAACATATATTCTCTAATCTCAACTCTAACCCTTATATTTTCTGTTGTTATCGCTTCCTTCGGTTGTCGTTCGATTTCTCTTTGCTTTACCAACAGACCGTGACCACCCTAAAGTCACTCATTGTACATGTCGTGCCTAAGTTCAATAGTCAAATTAATATTTTATTTAAAGTTTATGATTAAATTAATGTTATGTCTGAAATTTAGGTGTTAATTTAAAATTTAAACAATTCAACTAACATTTAATGTCATTAAACTAACGAGAGCTAATAACTCAATGATCAAAATAAGACAGATAAAAAACAAAAGTGATCAAAACATAATTTTTAAAAACTGATGACCAAAAAAAGATAGATTTAAAACAAAAAGGACCACCAATAGAATCATCCTATTGTAAATTAACATATTATGTGAATTAAACATCCCCTAAATATTGAAAAGGCATAATATCAAAATTAATCCCAACATTTATCAAAATGATCATTTTGGTCCCAATTATTTTTTGAAACATTTTAACTCCAAACGTTTCACTTTTGAGAAAAAGCTCCCTCTATAGATTAAAAAAATTAGTTAACACACGATTATCGCTATAAAATATGAGCATTTTTACCTTAAGTGAAACGTTGAAGGGTTAAATGCCCAAAAAAATAAGGATATTTTGATAAACATTGGTTGACTAATTTTGACATTATACCTATTGAAAATATAACGTTAAGTTTTGGTTCTATTTTGATTATTGACTATTAAAATAAAAATTAGTTGGCCTCTCGATTTCAAGGCTTTGCCTTAACTAATCCAAATAGATCCCTGTGCGGAGATTTTCTGCATACACAAATACTCAAACTCGAGACATTGCTTAAGCAATATCAAGATGTTTATCACTTGAGCTAACTCCTGTTGGTATTGATTATTAAAAAATTAATGATAATATTAACATTATATTTTTCTAATGTTGATATGACATTACATTATGATAATATGTTAATATTACTATTATTTTTTTGACGAATAATCAAAATAAAAATATAATATAATATTAGAGATAATTTTAAAAAATAATAATTACATGATGAAAACAAAATCCGAATAATAGATGGGTGAGTTACCTATTAAAAGATTCAAACACCAATTCAATTTTATTTATTTATTTATTCCTAAAAAATAAAAAAATATTGGGTGAGTTACAGGCTTACAGCCAGAAAAAGAAAACCCTAGGGAAGGCACCATTAATATATAATAGAGAAAATAACCTCAGTGGCAAAAAATGCCTTATAATATACGATTTTAACCAACTTTTTTTTGGATTTGCCAAAATGACCAACAAAATCGCAATGCGAAATAAATATTGCAACGCGATCTCCAGAATTGCAAATCAGTTCCCAGAATCGCAATGCGATAGTACAAATTAGCATTACGATTTTCCAGAATCGCAACGCGAATATGAAAATCGCAACGCGAACATATAAATCGCAACGCGATTCTGACTATCGCAACAAGTATCCGTAAAATCGCAACGCGTATCTGTAAATCGCAACGACAATACGTAAAATCGTAACGCGTATCCGTAAATCGCAACGAGAATACATAAATCGCAATGCATATATGTAAATCGCAACGAGAATACGTAAATCGCAATGTGTATCCGTGAATCGCAACGACGATACGTAAAATCGCAACGCGATTTTTAAAGCGCCATTAGAATCGCTACGCGTATTTTATTTTCAAATTCCAAACACAAATATTAATTATCGGAACACTGAACCGTCCACAGTATATCCCGTAATCGCAACTCATAACCTAAAACCTAAAATCACAACTCAGTCTCATCTTCATCTCTCACTCTCTACGGCGAAATCCGTCCCCATCTCCGAAGATTTCCGTCCCCATCTCCGGCGAAATCCCTCACAACCATTCATGGTCAGAAATCCCTCACAATCATTCAGAAATGGAAAATCAACCTCCGAGGGTTAGTTTTTTTAATTATTTTTATTTTGAAATTTTTGCATTATTTTAGGTTTTTCATATTGAAATTGATGATAAGTTTACTGGTAATTTTAATAATAGATTAACCATTTCACTTAGATTTCTTATTAAATTCATTCGATTGCTGCCAATACTGCTAAACTGTTTAGTCTTTAACCCTGTGAAGTTAGTATTTGTCTTTGTTTTGTCTTTTGGTTGAAGTAATGCAATCCATTAAAGTTTCAATTTGCAAAAGAAGAATAGTTTCTAAACTTAAAATCGCAACATGAAAATGAAAATCGCAACACGAAAATGACTATCGCAACGAGAGAAATGAAAATCGCAACGAGATAATCGCAACGCGAAACCAAAATCGCATTGCGATTTTCATTTTGCGTTGCGATTCTCTCGTTGTGATTTTCATTTCTCGTTGCGATTTTCATTTCAACCAAAAGACAAAACAGTGTTGCAAATTTTAGTTTCAAGAATAAACTACTACTCTTTATGTTTATTGTTTTTGGTATATCTTCACTGTGTAGTTTTTGGTATATCTAACTTGGTATGTTTATTGTTTTTGTAGAATTTTTTTTCGGATTCATTGACATTAAGGAATAAAGTTAGCCTAGCCACTACAATTGCTTCGAAGCTTTCACCTGCACAAAGAAAATTGTTTGAGGAAACTTGTTTCGGGCCATGGCTGAGAGTACAGTATCCGGGTGGAGATGCTAATTTGACCCATTTGTGGCTTCAGACCATGACTAGAGATCTACCCGACAGTATACAACGTGGTGATGAAGAGATATGGTTTCATTTTCCACCGGCGTATACTTGTTTTGGGCGGAAGGAGTTCTGCTTAATCACTGGTCTACGATTCGGACACGATGATATAGGCCAGTACACTCGTCATATCACCCGCCCATCATGGTTATCCTGGTTTTTTCCTAATGAGTCAATAGAGAAGCCGAACTTACACGTCGACGACCTAAAGAAATTGTTTAATAAGAAAGATGGTTTTACTCGGATGAATGACGTCGATGGTGTCCGAGTATGCCTTCTAGTACTTTTGTATGCCGGCTTTTTAGGCAGAGAGGCCAGACAACCTATTCCTCAGGAGCTAATATTATTGGTAAAGGACCTAAATGCATGGAATCTGTTTCCGTGGGGTTCGTATATATGGAAAGCTACATGGACTAAGTTGTCGTCTCCCTTTGATGACCGCAAAAGTTTGCGTGGCGATGGGTCAAAATACACTTTGTCAGGCTTTGTTTGGGCCTTTAAGGTAAGAATTTCTATATAATGTTTTCAAAATTTATAATTAATTATTTAACAATTACTAATGTTTGTTATTATATTGTTTGTAGATTTGGATATTCGAGGCTTTCCCCAGCATGCGGATATATGCATTAAAAACTTCAAATGATATTCCTAGGGCTATTTCCTGGAAGAGGAAACGTCTGTTGGATTGAGAAGACTTAATACCATATGCGACAATAAATAATGTAAGTTAACACAAATACTATCATATATAAACAAGTTATTAATAGTAGACGTTTAACTTTGTTTGAGTTTTTATATTTTTAGGAGGCCAACACTCCATTACAGAGACTGACACCCACAGAGGCTGAGCTTGCCACTGATTGGTGGCAAGCTAGTCAACGTTTTTTTGATGGCACGAATGATGAGCAGCCTCCACTTCCTCCACTTCGAGAGCCATCACCTCACCCAGAGCCATCACCTGATCGACCCGACTATACACCTCTACAATGAGAGCCATCACCTATCCCGTCATATCATCGAGCCTCTTCTTCACCATCACCTCATGATAGGCGACCGACAAAGATGCCACGACTTCTATCTCCCTGTTCTCCACCTCCACGGGATGAGTCAAGGGAGTTACGTGATGAGATCAATGCCTTGCGTGAGGAGATCGGTACTCTACGCGATAACGATGGTGCATGGCGTGTGGAGGTGTCTACTTTACGTGGTGAGGTTGCCGCTCTACGTGAGATGGTAGTATCGTTACAGAATGAGGTTCATACTCTACGCAACGAGGTAAGTTTAAGATTTTCCATATTTAACTTGATGATAAATTTACTCGTAATTTCACTTAGATTAACCATTTCACTTAGATTGCTTAGTAAATTTATTCGGTTGCTGCCAATACTGCTAAACTGTTTATTCTTTAACACTGTGAAGTTAGTATTTGTCTTTTTTTTTGTCTTTTGGTTGAAGTAAATTTATTCGGTTGCTGCCAATTCTGCTAAACTGTGTATTCTTTAACACTGTGAAGTTAGTATTTGTCTTTGTTTTGTCTTTTGGTTGAAAGTAAATTTGTTCGGTTGCTGCCAATTCTGCTAAACTGTGTATTCTTTAACATTGTGAAGTTAGTATTTGTCTTTGTTTTGTCTTTTGGTTGAAAGTAAATTTGTTCGGTTGCTGCCAATTTTGCTAAACTGTGTATTCTTTAATACTCTGAAGTTAGTA